TATGTGTGGTGTGTGTGTGTGTGTGGTGTGTGTGTGTGGTATGTGTGTGTGTGGTGTGTGTGTGTGGTGTGGTGTGTGTGTATGTGTGTGTGTGTTTGTGTGTGTGGTGTGTGTGTATGTATGAGGTGTGTGTGTTTGTGTGTGTGTGTGGTGGGAACCCGTTCTCTGCTACCATTTGTCTCCTCCTTCCATCTTACCTGTTTCTAGAGTGTTAAGTGGTTGCCAGTTCAGACTTAGTCAGATGAGCTGAAGGCTTGTGTCACAGTAACCCTGTGTTTCACCACTGTGTCTTCTTTGTTTGAGACATTGTCTCGCCACAGAGCTCTGGCTAGCCTTGGAACTTGCTACACAGCCCAGGCTGGCCTGAACTCAAGAGTTTCGCCTGCTTCTGCCTTCCAAGTGCTGGCATAAAAGGTGTATCCACCATGCCCAGCCATGATTATTTACTCCAAAGCAAGTTTAGATTTTCCTAAATGCTTGCATGCTAATTTCAAATTGCATCTTGGTCATTTAAAATGTCATGTTATGCAGTTGTGTATGGTTGGAAACCCACTGGCAATACTATTTTTGTTTTGGCAGCAGAAATTGCTCTGTAGATTCAACCACAAGTTGAGACTCCTGCTTTAGACCTGGGCCAAAAGGTTCCCAAGTGCCGTGTGACTGTATCTGGTGTGTCCCTGCCCCAGCGCTCAGGCTGGGATGTAAGGAGGTCTGGGATGCTGTGCCGGATCATCCCATGTCTGCAGTCAGGTGGGGTAAAGGGAGCTCAGGCATCTGTCCACGGTGCTGTGGGCTTGCCACCCCGGGCCTCTCCCAGATGAGTATCACCCCGGGGTCTTTCACTTTCTGTCACATCAGAACCCAGTGTTGTTAGAGCAGAGGAAGGTTTCGAGTGCAGACTCCAGTTACCAGCTGCTCTTACAGCCACTGAGGGGCCACAGGATCGCCTGCCGCTTAGGACACACCAGAAAGGAAGCTAAGGAGTGGAACCCGTACACCCTGGGAGCTTGAGCAATCTCCCCTTCCCATGTCTCTGGTGAGAATCTCCTGGAGCTCTGTCCACTTCCGTGAACTTCTGGAGATGAGGCTTGTGGAGTTCAAAGTGGCCACGCCCAGCAAAGCAGGTGCAGCACAGCTCAGCCATGTATGGCCGTCTCCCATCCTGGCCTGCTGCTCGTGACTGGACAGCCCGCTTGAGCTGGCCACACCCTGCTCGGGCTTGGCAGCTACGCTCAGGGAGACAGAATGGGTGGCATGTCGGTTCTCTATCTCACCCAGCAGCTCTGGAACGTTCCATAGCTGCAACATTTAATGTACTGTCCTTACAAGACAGCAACTGCTATTCAAGTTCAGGAGTGCCTCAAATCTCAGATTTCAATGAATTCTTTTAGCTTGCTTTAAAAATGGTGGTATTTCTCCCACTTCCCTCCAGCTTCTCCCACATCCCCCAACACGTCCCCTGCCCAACTCTGTCCTTTTAAAAACCCATTAGGTCCAGTTAGTGCTGCCCATGTGCAGATCATCCACTGGGTCATGGGAAACTGACTAGTGGGGACACAGAATGATCCTCCCTCCCCCAGCAGCTGTCACCTGCCAACCCCCGAGCACAAGAGGCCCTATGTCCAGATGACAGCTCTTCCCAGCCCTCCTCCTCCCTGAACCGTCAGTGTGTGTTTGGAGATGAAGGTGGGCACCGACAAAGATGTCACATTTAGATTGGAGCATCCAGGCTCTTGTTCTCAGTGCATGGATCAGTTATCTCTTCAGTGATGGCTGCACACAGCAGAAAGCAGTTCCTCTGACCAAGGTGACTTCTCGTGTCTGGGCCGGATCCAGTCCACCTTCAGCTTTCTTTATGCCTGTGCTCATGGAGCGACTATGGGTGTTACCGTGGTCCATTCCCTTGGCCACTTAATTGTCCCTGTAGTTAAGTTCCCATTTGTGCCTCCTAAGCAGTCATCTCGCTGCAGTTTGTGGGGTGATTTCCCAGAAGTAGCGCCTCTGCATGCATCCCTGTGTGTGCACCGTGTCTGCATGCCCCTGTGAGGGGCTGGGGAAGAGGAGGGAACGGCCCGACAGCTGCCATTTTCAGACAGCTGTCTGTGTGCAGTTCCTGTAAGTCTCAGGTCTTTGCAGGAACCAGTTAATGGCAGTTGAACTGACAGCTTGTTCCTGGCACACCTATGTTCAGACCTAACTGTTCATTCGATTTCTTCCTGAGAATGAGGGATGCTAACCCTGCCTTAGTCGCTATGATCAAGTGGGAAAACATGAAATTCTTGAGCAGTGGGGCTGACCTGAGGCCAGCCAGCGTCAGCTCCATGGAGATGGGAGCAAGGCCGTCTTGATCACGAACCTGATGTTACCTAGAACACGGGCAGTATGCTGACCTTGCATGCTATGGGGCATGTGTGATTCACCCAGCAGGGACAGTCAGGGAGGGAGCAGCTGACTGCTGTCTTCTCCTCCCCTCGCAGCTCACCTCCAATGAGAAGCACCTGGAAAGCCTCAAGAACACTGGCAGCCTCCTGCGGGCCCTGGAACACCTGGCTCCAGCTCACAGGTATGCGGCGTCAAGTGACTGCCCAGGTCGGCAAACACACTCAACCACTTCTGTCCCCATGTCCTCCTGTTATCAAGGGCCACCACCTTCCCCACTGTCAGAACACACGCCAGCCTGCTGGCGGGAGAGCGTGGCAGTCAGCAGCAGTCTCGGCCCTGACCAGGGCCGAAGCACCAGGCTGCCTTCCTCAGCCCATCTTTAGAGCCACACCCAGCAGTGGCAGTGTGGGGCTGCCCTGCCTCCTAGGTCTCACTGGGCAGTTTATTGAGACTATCTGGGGAGTGAGGCCCACTGACTAAGGGTTGGCCTATCAGCCAAGGAGTAGGTCACATACACTGAAGACAGGCATGGTATCCCAAGAGGAAGGCACTTGCTGGACTGATAGCCAAGAGTGACAGGAACCCAATCTAGAAAGCAGGGCTATGGTTTACAGTTCCACCCATCAGTTCAGTGCTGCAGCCTGGCCAGGATAAGGCAGTGACCAGAGCCCAGGGAGATAGCTCTGGTCCCTGCATTCCCTACCCTGGGGATGAACCACCTCCTAAGGGGAGACCAACCTTCAAAGGTATCTGGCATTTCCTGTGGTTGTTTCAGAAATAGTGTCTGGGACTTGGGATCCCCTTGAAGGAAACTGGCTGAAGCCCTGCAAGGGTGATGCCATCCAGCAGCTCACACTGCAGTCCTGACAGGTTAGAGAAGCTGGCTTGGATGGTGGGGCCCTCCTCATCTGCTGGGACCCACTGTGTGAGGTACAGGCCAGGAACACCACTCAGTGCTCAGGGTGGCCGGACCCGTAAACCAGGAGGTCCTTCCTCCTTCCTGCCAGCCATCTGGGCCTTCACACCTGCTGAGGCTGTTTGCCCAAGAGACTAAAGGTAGCTTATTTTTGTGCTGGACTTCAATTTGGATCAAATGAGTCCAAAGGAGGCTTAGTGTTCAAGGCTTGTGCCCTCTCCGCCCACACCCGGATACAGGCAGTGTGGCCATGTCTGTCTGGGTTAGTTCAGATGTCCCCACCTGCAAGGACTGGGTAAGTGGGTGGGTGGCACTGCTTTGTGTAGATCTATCCCTCCTGGGAGGCTGACCTTCCATCCATGCCAGCCCCTCTGGGGCGTTGGTGGGCAGCGTGGCCCCACAGGACTGGCCTGGGCCCTGCCAGAGGCAGGCCAAGTTCAAAGACATTCCACCCCCCTCAGGGCCTTTGATGCACAGAGCAGGAATGCAGGGCACTGCCTCCGGTGGCAGCCTGTCCACGGCCTGCAGCTTTCAGCAGGACCCCACCCACCCGTTTATTTGCTAACAGCTCTGTTTCCTTGCCTGAGAGCCACCCCCGCCTAATCGTTCTCTTCAAGGGGCTGTCCGGAGTGTCGTGCTTCTCGTTGCTCACAGCCTGGTTTACATTGTCTCAACCCGAACAGTTTCTTTTAAGTTCCTAATTGTCCACTTGCTATTCCTAAGCATCGTCCCACAGTTCCTGGTGGACAAGGCCCACGGTGGCCAAGAGCTACCAGTGCAGAGCAGGGAGGGCAGAGTGGGTGTGGAGAAGCTTGGGCTCGGGGGGCAGGCTGGCTGTCTGTCCAGTCTGGCAGGTGGTGCCCAGGGCCTGAGGTGTGCACAGCTGAGAGGCACTGGATCAGCTGGGACTGTGGCACGGAGGCTCTCAATGTGGGCTTTTCTGAGAAGCAGCTGGTCTTTCAGGTAGGTGAGCTCAAGAGGCCCCCCCTGTTAAAGGGGCCTTTGACCCACATGTGCCTGTTCAACATCACCTCTTTGCTCTTCCACAGCTCGCCTGTCGATAGCGCCGTGGCTTCCTTGGCCCTAGAACTCCTCCAAGCTGTTGGGCACTAGACAAGGCCACCCAGGGGCTCCCGTCAGTTGCACTGTGAGGTCACATCCCACACATTCCTCCTTTCCACCAGCCTCAAGTGGAGCTAATAAAATCGCTGGGCCACAACCTGATGCCTCAAGTCCTCTCTGACTGGGATGACTGTCCTCGTCTTCCCTATGCAGAGGCCAAGCGAGCCTTGCCTCAAGTGAGCCACAGACCTCTGCAAAGCAGCTCCTGAGCAGACTTCAGCCTCACCACTCTGGTGTTCTATGGCCACTTCTTTTTCCTTTTCAGGGACATGATCCCAAGAATTCTAGGGAGGCCTGGGTGAGACACATGCACAGCAAGTTCAGTGTGCGAGCAGGAGTGCGGAACACTGGAGTGAGTCTACCCAGCTAGAGGGGATGGCAGTGTCAAGGCAGACTTGCTACCCCCACCCCCCGCCCCATAACCTCAGACTTTACCATTTCTGCCAAGTGCTAAGAGTCAAGTCTGGTGGACGCTGGGAGGAGGGTTGCCGTGTGGGGTGCGTCTGAGTCAGCACCGGAAGGTGGGGTGGGGCTTGGGCAGTTCCAAGCAGATGAGCTGGCTGAGGCCTCTGGAACAGCTTTGGACCAGGTAGGTTTCTGGCCCATTTGCTGCTCCAGGCTGCTTCTCTGGGGAAGGTGTGCACAGCTGGACCATCCCCAACAGCAGCTAGCCCAGGGGTCCTACAGTCAGTGGCCAGCAGCCCTGCTGTGACATGATCTGGGTAGCCTGCCAGCTCCAGCTAGCCTCATGATGAAAACACCAGCCGTGCCGGACCACATCAAAGGCAGCCATGCCAATTACCTTTAGTCTCCACAGCCACCTGCAAAGGCCTCAGCTTCCTCAGCCAGACCCTCCTCTTGCCTACAAGGATCCATGGCATGGCTGGATTCAGGGTTGACTCCTCTGCCCTGAGCATCCCCAAGCAGGCCTTGGCTGGGATGACAGACACAGAAGCACCAAGGACTTCATATAGCTAGAGGTGGTGTGTCACCAGGCTGTGTGGTGTCACCAGGCTGTGGGCCAAGTGGTCCTGGCCTGGCTGCATTATGGACTCAAGTGGCTGGGCGCTCTAAGAGAGTAGGCTCAGGTCATCTCTCCCCGTCCCTTTGTTCAGTGCTTGAGCTCTGGAATCCTGCAGGGAACTGCTTCAAAGCGATGGGTTATTCCTCCTCCTCTGCCCTTTTCAGCAGCACACAGAGCAATCTAAAGCAGGAAGGCTTTAACATTCCAGAACATTCTGTTGAGTGGCTGGCTTACAGGAAAGGGCCTGGTGGTGTGAAGCAGGGCTGCTGTCTTGCTAGAGGCTAGGCCTGCCAGGCCTTGCCCCTCCGTCTTAATGTTGGAGACCATAAGCGTGCTGGCTGGGGGAGAGGGCAAATACAACTGCTCCTTTGAGCTCCCCTTCAAGAGAGCAGACATAGTTGGCCTCTTCATGAGCACTAGGATTCTGGTGGTGGCAAGCGGTCCAGACCTAGGTTTCTGCCTGCACCTCTCAGAGAGTCTCAGCCCCTAACTTCAGCAGCCACTAGGCACACATCAGTCACAGGGAGGTGGCTGCCTAGGCCTAACCTTCTCCCCCTCTACCAACAGCTCAAGCCTTAACACACAGCCAGAGAGTAGGTGCTGGTTGTACTGTCTCCCAGGAAACGCCAGTGGGTAAAAATGGCCACAGCCAACCTGGAGGATACCTAGATAGCCGCAGTGGTCGGCCTATAGGTGTCTGTTTCCTGCATGAACTCACAAGATATTGGGCTGACGGTTTCCTATCCTCTAGTCCAGAAAAGAGCTGCTCTGGTGGCTATGGCTGCTGAACAAGGTGAGTGTAGGATGTGGGTCTCCCCACTGGACGGCTCACAAGATGCCCTTTACCACCTTCCCCAGGCACTGAAAAATACAGCGTGCAAATCAATCTCCCTGCTAACCCGTCATGGGTGCAGACAGGGCTAGCTCAGGGGCCTCCCGAGGGCCAGAGGCAGCCTAAGAAGGGACACTGCCCAGTTCCTGCTGTCATTTGTTTCTGCAGGTGGGCATGTTCGAGACCCCACATACCCCAAGGCCACCAGCCATGAACGCCTTGTCCTCTGCTTCTCTATCAGAAAAGAGTCCATGCTGGACTCTCTCCTACAGGAGAATGGTCACTTGACGGCTTGCTTAGCTGCTGGGGTGGCTGTTGTTTAGTGCTCTGCCGGCCCTGCCCCACACAGACACAGGGCAGGCAGGCAGGCAGGCAGAGTTTCCACTGCTCATGTAGACCTCCTCTTTGGATACAAACGGTGCTGTTCCCGGGCTAAGTTGTGTGTGCCTCTCCTTTTTGAAAAACCACATGTGCCCTTCCCAGTGCACACGTGGAGACCAGGTCACTACTTCTGGGATCCGTTCTTGCCTTCCACCTCGTTACCTTAACCCATATGGACTCTACAGACCCCAACTGGCATCTCTGTGAAGGAGGACTTCCTCACAGGGACCTCCTGTGGCTTGGAATGCTGGCTAACAGGCACAGTCTTAACCCAGGAAACCAAACAGCTCTCTCAGGCACAAACATTCTCTCTTGGTAGAGGACCAAACACAAGTCTTAACAGGTCTGTGTAAGAAACGTACAAAGCCTGCTTGTCAGACCCACCACCAGGACAGATCTGGCAGGCCACACGGAAGGCAGCCCATTCTGGTTCTGATTATGTTCAGATAAACGTTAGCATTTAAACGTAATTACTGGTTCAAAGGAGTGGAAGGCTTGCCCTCTCCAAGTGAGCCACACTCACAGATCCAGGCACTGCTTCGTTACCGCTCAGTGGGATGACCCTGTCCAAAGGAGGGGCTTATTCGGCTTCCAGCTTTAGTTGTTGCTCAGTGTTAACACCTCGAGACTATCATGGGCAGCACACTTAGGTTTCTGAGCAGGAGGGTGAGTTGAAGGAGTGCAAGCTCCACAGCAGTCCTTCCTTCACAGAAGCCCAGTCAGCCACAGTAGTCAAGGCTGAAACACGCACTTCCTCCCTCTGGCTGGCCGGGTTTGGTGGGACGCTCGCTGCTAAGGGAGGCTGCCATGCAGACTCAGGCCTTCTCTACCCCGGCAACCTGGGCACCCCAATGACACCACCTCCTCAGGGCCAGCTGGGTGCCTGCATTACCCTCACCAACCATCTCATGACAAACAAATCAAAGTGACACAAGCGAATGAATTAAAAGTTTAATTCTGAACCATTTTTATAACCATTTTCTCTTGAAGCATTGTATCACAGCAGGTTACAACAACTTTGGGATAAAAGGCAACTGGTAAACTGTCCAAAACAAGGCTCAAATAACACCTCTTACTGATTTACCCTACCGCACGTATCCCCAATAAAGTTTTTGTTCAAAAACATGAAATAGATCCACCTGCTTATTTTAAGCATATTAAAAAGGAAACTAATCGGACCATTTCTATCTGTCTATTTATACAAAAGGCTACACAATGTTACACGTCTCCAGATTACGATTAGCGTGATTATGAATTAGTGTTCTACACCATTACTCAGTTCTTAGAAATCAGAAATTGCTGTAGCAGGTTCACTAGAACATAACACTACGAGACTTAAAACTAACAGTTACTGCAAAAAATAAAAGCTACTTCAAAGCAAGCAAAGTCAGTACCATTACAGATATTAAAAAAAAAAAACAAAAAACAACAACAAAAAAAAACAAGCAAGGCTAGGGTTTGATAACGCCATCTTGTGATCCATTCTTGTGCATTCTTCACTGCGTGAGTCACTCCCCAAATCCATTTGTATTGTTACTCCTCGACCAAAAAGGACCAGAACAAAAAGTTTACTCCGACTGTTCCCATGGGAACTCAGCTTGGTTAGTGTGTCAGGCACTTTCTGAGATACCAGCCCACCCCTCGAGCCCTCTCAGCAACTCTACAGGCCAATCCCAACGCAAGTTCAGACAACACAGCTGTATAGAGAGAAAGGCTGCTATTAACGCTGAAAACAGCAAATGTTACTCGTCTGAGTATAACGCTGCAAAAGCCGTGGCAAAAACATCAAAGTGAGAAACTTTCACACATGAACATCTCCTTCCAAGGTATGTATCTGTTTTGTGGCAGATTTACAAACAGGCCTAAAACCATTCCCACCCCACCAAGTCTTTCTGGAGTTCTGTAGGCAGAGTAAAGGATTTCACCCACACTGGCTTTATAAGCTGCTTACCTAAAGGATGATTTACAGGTCAGTATCAAACCAGGCCAGCTGATTGCTGTCACCTGGGGGCAGCCCATCCATGAGGTCCTGGGCATGTCCCAGATCTGGCAGCCCATCAACTGGATAGTCAGCACCAGGGTGGTGGCCACCCATCTCATGCTCCATCATAGGGTCCATCCCCAAGGCATCCTGGCCATATCCACCAGAGTGAAAAGAGCGGTAGCTGGGATCTGGAAGAGTCAGGGTGTCCACAAGACAGGCAAAGCAGGTTAACCGTGGTCAGGATGCCAAGAACGCTGCTTTCTAGTCTCCTCTTCTAAGCAATTATACAACACCAGGTCTCAGCAGCTCCAGAGACTACCACACACCAACAGCAGTCTGCCTTCAACATATTTACCCTCACAGAGCATGAGGCAGCTGTTAACTGAGCCTCACTTCCTGAGACTGAGGAGGCCTACCTGGCAGGCAAACTGCCTATCACAGTTCAGGTGAGAAGCCAGAGAACCCCACAGTTCCTTGGATAAAGCTTCTGGGATGGGGTGATGGCAGCAGCACCTTACCCTGCTCAATCTGGATCACTTTCCAGAAGGCTCTGATGGACCAGCTATGAATCACCCTTCCTAGACCCTCCCTTCTCCAAGACAAAGGTATGATGATGGGCTGTGTAACCAAAGAAGGAAAGCCAGGGGACAGCAAGAGCTGGCCGCATGCCACAGCCAAGCTCCACGGGTTCCACGGGTTCTGCTGCTAACTCTGGAATTCAGGGACTACCTAAGTGCAGCTACCACTTCCTCCAACCCAGGCTCCCTCCCGGATGAGGGGACCAGCCCTGTGGATAAAAGCTTTATAACATACCATCCTGGCGATATCCAAGTGCTTCTCCCTGGGCACCAATGTCCAGTCCAAGATCAGCAGTCTGCATGGGTACAGGACAGAATATAAATTTTCAAAACCACACTTGAGTGTTTATGTAACATCAAAAGACAAAAGAGCTCAAACTGCACCTAGCATTAAAATGTTCACTAACTGATTCTCAAAGGACACCTACAATGCTGTTCCAGAGGTAGGGTACAGCAATAAACGCCCAACAGGCAGACTGCTCCGACACAGTGGGCAGTGGGAAGTGGTCGGACCAGTATAGCAAAGCTGCCATTATCCAGAAAAGGCATCAATGGGAGCAGGTTTCGGACGGGGTGGGTGGGGAAAGTCAAGGGCTCCGGTCAGAACACATTAAGATGCCTACAAATGACTACTCAACACCCAGCTCTCACATTACTGTACGGAACCTGAGATTGCATTTAGCAAGCACCAGCTATTGAGACTATGTCTGTACCCCAGTTGGGAACTACGCAGTATCTAAAATGCACTTCTAGGGAAGTTGACCAGAAACCATGATTCAAAGAGTAACTATGGAGGATGGATTAAAAACAAAACCAAGGAGACAGTATATGGAGAGCAGACTGTTTAAACGGACTCCCAACCACCTGCTCAGCAGACTACTTTCCTCCCACCCTTGGAGACTTCTACAGCCCTTCTCACCTATGTTCCTGTGAGTTATGAGGACAGGGCTTGTTTACAAGCACTGCAGAGCCAAATGAATGAATGCACAGGAACAAGCACTGACTGCTTACCTCATTCCAAGCCATCGGCTCTGTCCTGAAGAGGGAACTGGTCAGCTCAACTGAAAGCCGTTTCTTGTAATCCTGTGGCTTGTCCTCAGACATTCGGAATAAAACAGCAGCTGCATAGGTTGCTGGGAAATGAAGAGAGAGTGGTCTTCAGGACAGGTCCAGCACCAGTGCACATGGCAGTTAACAGAGCAGGTTGGCTCCTCTACCTACCCACGCCTTCATTCCTGGAGTGGAGTAATTCTGTCAGGGGAGCTGTGGCTCCCTCAGCTTCAATGGCCTCTGCAGCCTCCTTGTCCTGAGCAAGTTCACAGAGGACCCCCGCAGCTACTCTTTGGATGTTTTCAATGGGGGAATAAAGCAACTATGGAGAAAACACAGGAACAAGACCCAATTAACCCAATAAAGCAAGGCATGGACCCAATGTGGTACAGACTCGCCCAATGTGGAGTGTCAGCAGCACCCACTCAGCTGTGTTCCACATCTGTCTTCACAGGAGGAGGCTGCTCTGCAATGAAGGACCCCCAGAATTGTTCTCAGCCAGGAACCTCTCCTTTGGGGGTGGGGCAGGGGGCGGGAGGAGGGCTGTGCTCTGGCTCTTCCTGAGGCTCTAGGCCCAATGCTCCTAAGAAAGGACTTCTGGTCTGTAATCCTCTCAATTTTTAGGGGCCTAAATCTAGAAGGCCCCCATCTGAAGTCAACGCACCTGCACAAACAGTGGAATGGTATTGAGTCCTCGGATTACAATCCGGTTGTGAACATCCCGAGCAAGGATGTGAAGAGCTCCAGTACAGCCTTCCACTATCTCCTCCATGCGGACACCCTCCTGGAAGGAGAAAGGCAATTAACAAGCTGGTACTCTCTTCCTCTAGTTCCTGAGCTCTAAGCAGCAGGTGCTATTATTCACACTGTCTCCAAAGATCCTCACAGCTCACCCAGTGCTCAGGAAGGGAGGGAGGGCTCCTACACTGACTGTCAGGAGGCTCCTGGGAGCAGGCCTTCTCCCTGCAGAGCCAGCAGCCTCCTGTGCTCTATGGCTTCCATATCAAATGCAGCCGCAGAAAGGCCTACACTGTGCCCAGGGCAACCTGCCCAGTCCATTAATCCTCAGCAACTCATTCTCTCTTCCTTAGGCACCCTACAGGGTTAGTGTGACCCGAGGGCAAACATAGGTACACTGTAAATACCAAGAAGTTTTGTGTAAGAGACTTGAGTTTCTGCAGATACAAACCCAGACACTGAGGGACGGTGTGTGGTCAGACTGCTTTCTCACTGCACAGAAGAGCACCAACCACTCTGGGTAAGCTGCAAGTGAACATGGGTCATTCTGATGGCTCTTCCCACATGTCCCTCTATTTTTTTACATGTGTCTGGTGAAAACTTGACTCAGCTTTATTCTTACTGCTAAAATCTCAAAGAGCTGCCAGGAGAGTGCCCACTGCTTGTATCTCCCGAGACTCTGTGTTAAGTACTATTTACTTTCTAATCTAGGACTGCATAATGACTCTGCTACTTTGATTCTGTGAAGACACAGAAATCTCCTTCTTAGGCTGTAGGTGGCACCTTAACTATGAGGTCATCCTATGGAGAAGGGCCAGTGACAGGCACTGGAGAAATCAAACCCACACAACCATCAGCAGCAATGTGGCAGGGTTCCTCCTCTCTGTATCCTCATGTGGGGGAAGAATGCTGCCACAGAGTTGGATTCAAATTTGGCTATTCCTACATGAGCACATGCGTTCGAGGCCTAACCACACAATAGCACATTACACTCCATGTTTCCGTTTTAAGGCTGACCAGGGAAACACCACCAGAGCTTGTCACACCCCTCTTCTCTGGAAACCAGAAACAGGTCAGTTTTTTTTTTCAGTCATTAGTAGCCCTTCAGAAAGGGGTGAGAGGATGGGGGTGGGGTGGGGGTGGAGATATGTAGATTATGCCTTCACTCTCACATGCCTCCAAACAGCCAAGAACCAAAGATTTACCTACCACAAACTGCTGCTGGGTTCCACCCATGGAGGTACGCCGCTGGGTGTCCTGATGGGCTCGAACAAGCAGCTGAACTAGTCGTGGAATAGCACCCTGCTCCCGCAAAGGTGCATGATTTGCTGGGCAAAGGGCAAGGTTTCGAATCAATCCAACAGTCGCCTACACAGAGGGAAGAATGGGTATACAACACAACCAAATCACAAGCAGCATTGAGTGCACAAACACTTGGGAATCCCACCACCCTACTCCTAGCCATCTGTGCCAACAGACAATCCCAAGTTACAACACTGTGCCCAGCAGTCCGTTCACTTCCCATGCTTCCCACCCTGCTCTGACAGTTTACCTTTATCAGAGGCCAGTGGGATGGTGGGTGCAGGAGTTTAACCACAACAGGTAGTCCATAGTGAAGGCGAACGGCATTCTGGGCCATCTCAGCTTCTTGATGCCGGCTGGTGAGATGACGAAGAGCACAGATGGCAGGCTCGGTAATGTCCTCCCTGTCACCAGCACGCAGGACAGTACGCACGAGAGCCTCTATGCCACCCACTTGGCACACCATCATCTTGTTTTTGTAATTATTGCAAGTGAGGTTAGAAAGAATTCCAGCTGCACAGGTGACCACATTTATGTCATCTGAACCCAGAAGCTGTACTAGCGTCCCAAGGAGACCTTCCATCCCTTCCTGTGGAGATAAAAACATGCTGAGTTCAGGGCTCATGGAGACCCCAGCACCAAGACAGCAGCGTCTGCAGAACCTACCTGTTTAGTTGCAGCATCTGAGAGATTCCTAAGAGTCCAAAGACAGTTCTGAACAAGTCGCTGGCTCGGGTCTGTCAGATGAAGTCCTAGTGCCTGCATCCCACCTAGAGTTAG